CTCTGTGTCTCCAGAGTGCAAATTAAATGTGAAGGGGGAAAGACCAGTGGGATGAAGGGCTGCCTTCCTCCTATTAATAGGCCACGAAGAGGGGGCATTGTGAGGCACACAAACCTGCAGAATGAAAACATCCCCGTAGGAAAAAGAGTCAATGTGTTGGCACAAGAAAGAGTCTGAGACCTAAATGCACAGGGCCTGAGTCCACACCCTAAATGTCCTACCCTGGACCAGGTCCTAACCTGCCTGCTTGAGCATCAGTTTCTCCATCCATAAAATGGGGAGAATCATAACACTGCGTGTTGTGGACTAAACATAACAGAAAACCCCAATGAGAGTCTTACACAAGAAGAGGGTTGTGCTCTCTGGTAAAAGAAGAACAGACTGGCAGTCCAGGGCTGACATGATGGCTCCATGACATGCTAAGCCCCTGTCCTTCATGCTCAGGACCAGCTTCACGGGCGTGTGACCCATGCAGTCATTTAGGGCCCAGCCCTGGGGCGAAGACTCTGCTGTTACAGCATGTGTTCATTTTGTTCTGCCCCCTGCATATTATGTAACTAATGTCGTTGACGCTTTCTAGCTTTCCAGTCCATCATCCTTTTGTGAGCATCCTCCTCCTCCTGCATCTTGCCCTCCAAATTCCAGGCAGGAAGTTTCTTGCTCAGTAATGTCTGCCTACATCCCAGTGGCTGGACTTAGTCACATGGCGACTCTTACCTGTAGGGGAGTCTAGGAAATACAGTTTTTTCATAGGCACATTGCCTCCCCCAACAAAATCAGTTAGTAAGAGAGAGAAAAAAGCAATGGATAGCGGGGAGAAACTACTAGGCCTTGACACAAAACTCAAATAAAAGACATCATGGGTATGGTACAACACATGCGAATTTAGTTGCTCTCCTAATAGAAAACAGGATAAAGCACAGATTATCTATTTAGTATAATAGACAAATAAAAATGTTGAACATGATATGGGATAATATAAAGTAGTTCAATTATTCATATATACATTATGAGATTTTATAATTATACAAGAGTAGTTTTAAGTCAAATAAATTAATAACAAACATGGCTTGACTCTTACAATATAAAAGATACTGCACTTGTATAAGGAGTTTACAATCTACTAGAGAAATAAGACATCCTTGAAGGCAAAGTTAAATTCCAAATGAGTGATAACATAAAGTGCAACAGCAAAAATGAATGATTGCTTCGGGGTCCAGTTAATTTTAGAATATTCTTCTTATTTAAAGGAGCTTCTATATAAAATTACAGAACAAAGAAGTAGAGTTGAATAAAAATAGAAGAACTTACTGTATTCTTAGTAAGATTCAAAATCATAAATTATGTCAAGTTTTCCTAAGTTAATTTATAAACTTAATGTGACTATGATAAAAGAACCAACTGGAGGTTTCAGGGGTTTGGGTTGTTTTTGTTGCTTACTGGAACTAAACAAACTGAATCTGAAGATTTTTTTTTTTTTGAAAAATCAGTGAACACAAATAAGAAAGAGAACTCTGAAAGGAGAGGCGAGGGAGAACTAGCCCTATGGGTTTGAGTCATACTCAGTATGTGAACAGGTGGAGCCTGGAGCAGAACAGAAAGCAAACCAGCAGGACAGAATGGAAAGCCCAAGAATAGGGGCAAAAGCATACAGGACTTTGGTGTATAAAGGTGGGACTTCAAAGCAGTGGGGAATCTAAGGATAATTCAATAAATGGTAGTGACATAAATGGGTGGCCATGTAGAAAAAAAAGGTGGAACCGCATTTCCCAACATATGTCAGCATGAATCCTAGATGGATCTAAAATTCAAATATGGGAAGTGAAAAAATCAGAGTTCTAGGAGAAAGAAGATAAAAGTCGCATACAATCTCAGAGTGCCAAAACTTGGAAGATGTCCTTCAATAGATGGATAAACTGTGACACATCCAGACAATGAAATATTATTCATCACTAAAAAGAAATGAGCGATCAAGCCATGAAAAGACATGGAGGGACGTTAAATGCGTATTGCTAAGTGAAGGAAGCCAGCCTGAAAAGGCTCCATACTGTATGATCCCAACTATACAACATTCTAGAAAAGGCAAAACTGTGCAGACAGTAAAACCATCAGTGGTTTCCATGAGTGAGGCAGGGGAGCATGAATAGATGGAGAACACAGGATTTTTAGGACAGTGAAAATACTCCGCTTGATACCTAATGATGGACACATGCTATTATACATTTGCCCAAACTCAGAATGCACAACACCAAGAGTGAACTGTAAACTATGGAGATTGGGTTATGATGAGTCAGTGTAGGTTCAACACTTAGAACAAATGTACCGCTCTGGTTGGGGATATTGATCATGGGGGAGGCTATGCATGTGAAGGGCAGAGGCTATATGGAAATCTTTGGACCATTCCCTCAATTTTGCTGTGAACTTTAAACTGCTCTAAAAAATAAGGTATACATAAAAATAATTAATTAATTTAAAAAATCAATCAGGTCAAGATGATTGATAATGTTGTTCAGATCATCTACGTCTTTACTGATATTTTACTTAGTTGCTCTATCNCTGACAATGTATAAATTTCAGGGGGCAGACACCATCCCACTGACTGCTAACTTAAGAAAAACAATCCTTTTTCAGAGTTGGACACTGATAGTAGTAATCATAATTTTTTTAGCTTCTACCACATGGTCAGCACTGTGCTAAGTATTTCAGGGCTGAAAAATAAAACAGTCCATCATGTGTTTAGCAATTTTTAAATTGAGAATCAGAGAATTCTCATCAATAGATGACAAAAACTGTAAGCTAGGAAGTCTCCAAGCTAGTACCCTTTACCACGGATCTGACTTCCACATGGTCCAACTTAGACCACGAAAACCCTACCCTAAATTTCCTTATTTGAAAAAAGTATTAGACTGGAAGCCTCCTACCAATTACATGTAAGCAGTACAGTTTGCTGACAAACGTTTACGAGCTTGTTGCAGTGAAGAAGATGTCATTATTGTTACAGTCTTTGAACAGGGGAGAAAACGGTATGGTGCCTGTTTCAAATATTGCAGTGTGGTATTCCCCCTTCTATCCACATAGTTCTGGTCTTTTAAAATAGGATTGCCCAGCCTGGTTGCCAAGCATACAAGTCTGCAAGGGCTGCCATAACAAAGAACTTCAAACAAGTGGCTTAAAGAACAGAAATGTATTGTCCCACAGTTTTGGAGGATAGAATTGAAATCAAGGCATCGGCAGGGCTGGTGTCTCCTGAGGGCTGTGAGGGGAAGGTCTATTCCAGGCCTCTCTCCTTGGCTTATAGATGGCTGTTTTTCTGTGTCTCTTCACACTATCTCCCCTCTATGTGTGCCTGTCCCCAAACTTCCCATTCTTATAGAGACACCAGTTATATTGGATTAGGGACCACTCTAATGACCTCATGGTACCTCTTGAAGGACATTCTGAGATACTAGGAGTTAGAACTTCAACAAATGAATTGGGGATGGGGAGTGACACAATTCAACCTATAACACTAAGTTTCATGACACCTTGATTACACCAACTACTTTTAATACTTCACTATAAACAGAGGGCCCAAGCTTACAGTGAGATTTGGATGATATTAGAATGACACTTCAGTCAAAGACCCAGGAACGCCAGAGATCTGTCCTCCTAAGTGCCACAAGGACACAGAAGGGACCATCCAAATGGGCCTGACCACACTCTGACAGGTGTATGGTAAAACAAGGTTGGAAGTCAAGGCCTAAGAAGGGGTTTCAACCTAAATCCAGGCCTGATCCCTTCAAGCCATTGGGCCTGCCCAGCACCCCTGAATTACCTGCCTGGGCCTAGCTTAGGAGGGACCCTGAACCCTTTACCAAGTAAGAGATGTGGAAACACATTCAGTTAATGTGCCCATTGGCAAACATTCACATTCAATGTCCTGGAATCTGACAGAACAGACTATAATTTCTTTTTCTTGGGGAAGGTAAGAAATTTTCTTTCCTCCTACAAAGAGGGAGGAGGAGTGGGTTGCCGAACGCCATTGCCAGAATCCCACATGATACATTGTGACAGCCTGCGATGGCACACTCTGCCTAACCCCCAACCCAGTGCCGCCCAGGACTTGGTCCAGAAATGTTGACCTGTGGATGTTAACCAAGATTAGGTGCTCGTGCCGCAACTAAGCAAAACTGCAGTCACCTCAGAGCTCTGTATAACACTGATGTGACACTGGGGTCCCTGAACAGTTGAAGTGGCAGCCATGGCTGGTAATGCTAGTAAAATAAATAATAGTTAATGGCCCCAGTGGTTCCCATGGTCATAGATAAGATGGTTCAAAGGGCGATAAATACCATTGATCCTAACACATTAATTATTAAAGAAATAAATTCTCGCTGACTTTTCCTGATTGTGATCTCATTGGGAGGACCACCAGTACCTGCCTTCCTCCTGAAGGGTGAAGTAGACAGAAACCCCTATCTGATGGGNCTCTCTCTCTCTCTCTCTCTCTCTCTCTCTCTCTCTCTCTCTCTCTCGTTTCCTTTTTCTACTTCTCTTCTCCACTTCTAAATAGATGTAGATTTGGAAAGAGACAAAATTTTAATGTGGCAAATTTCTTTCATATCAAACCACAAAGTAGCTTCACCAAATTACCTAGTGCCACATTTGCTCTAAGTGGGGTGAATGGTACTAAGGTTTATTTCTAAAAGAATCTGAACAAAAAGCTCAACTGTCCCTTAACTTCCACAGATGTGTCAACCCTGCAGAATGACTCCGCCTATGACAGCAATGACCCTGATGTGGAGCCCAGCAGTGCCGTCAGCTCTCCAAGCAGACTGCCCCAGGTGCCCTCGGAGACGGCCGCTGGCTTGGGGCCCAGAGGCCCACAGGACACTTGGGAGTTAGCACCCGCTGTCAGCACCGTAGCCAGGCTGAAAAGCTCCCTCAGCGATCCGGACAGGAGGTACTCAGAACCCAACATGGCTTTCTCACAAGAGTGCCTTGACAGCCGGAAAGCTAACCAAAAACTAACACGAAGTGAGGATGACTTCACCAGGGCCCAGCCAGGCTCTGGTTTTGAAAGTGAGGAAGCTGAGGACCCGTTTCCAGAGGAGGTGTTTCCTGCAGTTGAAGGCAAAAGCCAGAGGCCACAGGACCTAAAGGTAAAGAGCTGGACTCAGGGTTCGGCATCGCCATGGGGACCGGTGCCCAAAGCCTTGTCCAATGGCTCCGTGGACGCTTCCTCGGACAGCTCCCCCATGGCCTCCCCTTCCAGTCCCAAAAAGAATTTCTTCACCAGACATAAGTCTTTCACAAAGACAGACAAAAGTAAGCCCAACAGAGAAATAAAAAAACACTCCATGTCATTCTCCTTTGCCTCTCACAAAAAAGTGCTGAGCAAAACCTCTAGCTGCTCATCTGTGAAATCCAAAGACTTTACGAGAGACCAAGTAAGGAAAGATTTGAAGAAAGTAGGCCAGCTTGTTGGACGAATCGTCCAGGAAAACGTGTCTGAAATGCACAGCCACACAGCTCTAGACTTTAGCTCGAGAGCCTGTGCCCACTCAGTTGCCCAGAGGAGCCCAGNTTATCTGATACTAATATAGCCACTTCAATCGTCTCACGCTTATTTTTTTACATGATATGTCATTCTCCATCCATGTTATTTTCAATCTTTTCGTGTCTTCATATTTGATGTGTTTCACTTCTAGGCAGGATATAGTGGAGTCTTGCTTTTTTTCCATCCTAATAATCTTCTGATTATAATGTTTCTGATTATTGATATGGGTGGATTTAGGTCTACTATTTTATTACGTATTTTATGTTTGTCTCCTCTGTGTTTAGTTTCTCCCCTTTCCTCTTTTGTACCTTCTTTTGGATTATTTGAACATTTTTATAATCTCATTTGTATTTATCTATTGGATTTTTAGCTTTTTGCATTATTTCTTAGCAGTTTTTCTAGGGATTCCTATGTAAACCCCTGGATTTCCCATGGACTACTTGTAATTGTGTAGCTGCACTTCCTCCACCACCTCCATCATCATCCTTTTTGCTGTAGCTGCCATGTATATATTCCATCTACATACAATATAAACCCTATAAGTCAATGTTATAACGGTTGCCTTATACGGTCATGTATATTTTAATGGAATTACGAGGAAACATAGTCTTTGTGATAACCCAATTATTTATCTTCTTTACGTTCTTTATTCCTGTTTTCATATTCAAATTCACATATCGTTTCCCATCAACCCAAAGAATGTCCTTTCGCTTCTTGTAGTGCAAGCCTTCTGATGACAAATACTCTTAGTTTTCCTTTTATTTGAAAATGTCTTCATCTTGCTTTAATTCTGGAAGTATATTTTTGTTAGACATAGAATTCTAGGGTGACATTTTTTTTCTCTAAATACATGAAAGATTTTATTTACTGTCACCTGACTTCCATAGTTTTTGATAAGAAGTCCACTATTATTCAAATTATTGCTCCCTATATGTGATGTGTCGTTTTTCTCTGGCCACTTACAAGATTTTCCCTTTGTCTGTTTTTCAGCACTTTGACTGTGACATGACTAAGTGTGTTTTCCTTCTCATTTATCCTGTTTGGGATTCACTGAGCTTATTAAGTCAGTAAATTTAAATGTTTCATTAAATTTCAGGAGTTCTCAGCCATTATTTCTTCAAATATTTTCCATCTCATTCTCTTTCTCTTCTCCTTCTGGGACTTCAATGACTCATATGTTAGCCTTTTTGATGTTGTCCCACACATATCTTAAGCTCTCTACAACGTTTTTCACTCTTGATTCTTTTGTTTCTCCCCCACTCTTTCTCCTGCTCCTCCTCTGCCTCTTCCTTCTTCTTGGGTTATTGTATTATATTGGATCATTTCTATTGCGCTGTCTTCAAGCTCACTGATTCTTTTCTCTTTGTCTCCATTATGTTCTAAAGCCTATCCAGTAAGTTTTATTTCTTTCCAGTAAGTGTTTTTCAATTCTAAAATTTCCATTTTACTGTATACATTTTCAATTTATCTTACGAGATTTCCTGTCTTCTCATTTATTGAAGCACTTCTTTTTACCCTACTGAGCATAATTAGCCACCTACACACACTTTGCAACTATGGGCTGTCCTCTGGCCAAAGCCGAATACCAGGAAACTCACACCCTCCTCCAAAAGTCAGCTCCCCTCTGCCTGCTTTTGTTAACTCTCCAGATCCCTTAGGGAGTTGTTTTTGTCTAGAGTTTATAGTTGCAGTTTGTAAATGAGTTTGTCTATTAGGAGCCTACTCCACTGTACCATGGGTTATGTGCCTTCAACACTATGTATGCAATACGGAGTGAAGAGCTCTCAGCCATGGGCTGGTGTCCCTGATCCCCAATAGGCTTGCAAAAGGATGAACTATGATTGTATCTCGAAAAAGTCTTTTGGCATGTTAAATGTACTACCAAGTATATAAGGGGACATTTAGACATATGTAGACACTGACCAGTTTCCAAAGATGCAAATGTTTTCAAACAAATATTTATATATGTTTGTATGTATGCATGGGTGTGTGTGTGTGTGTGTGTGTGTGTGTGTGTGTATGTCTTAAGGAACAAGAAACATGTCAAGTGGGGTACTTTTACCATAGGGTGATAGGGAAGCTATCTGGTCATTTCATTCATGACCCCAATCATTTTTATCTGTGAATCTGTAGCCAAAGAGTGATGATGAGGTTTTTCACTGTGATTCGAAATCAGAAAAAGTGAAGCTTGCTTTCTGGCAAATCTGTAGGCGGTATGACACTTGAACTGTGTACACTTAGTTTCTAAGAAAAATTTTATATGGCAAGACTTAGATGTCTAAATCTAAAGCTTGAAAGGACTGCAAACATCTACAGGCCCCAGAGCACACTGAGATGCATACAACCTAAATTCATCCCTTTCAGGGTTTTTAATTACAAGGAAAGTTCAATAACTCCTTTAAAGATAGGAGTGGTTTGTCTATTCAATGAACACTACAGCAGATCCAAGCAGCAAAAGAATCTGTAAAATTAGGCATTTAGCCCCACAAAAGGTCCTCAAACTGCTAAACTGGTGTTGCTAAATCTAGAAGTTCTTGCCTAAGAATTTTCACAGGTGTTCATTTGCATGTGTAAAATTCCTCCTGTTACATCAGTTTTAAACAAGTGGTTTGAGTCAGGATTTAAGTCTAAATTGTGAACATTGGTACCTGACTATACAACCCCATAGCAGAGATAGTAACTTTTCAACATTTCTAGCCATTCCTAGAGATTAAAGAATCAGAGAATAGAAAGGCAAAATCTAAACTGCAATCTATTGTTCCAAGCTCATATCATTAAATATCCTAGCTTTAAAAATGTCTGATTTAATATCCTTGCCTTAGTTGTCTTCCCCATACAACTGATGCAGCTTACAATGATTAGAAGCCTCATCTTTCAAATCCCACTTCGTCGTGCTTACCAAAACCTTCAAACCCTCTTCTCTGGTGCACTAAAGGAAGTCTGTTTGCTCCTGGAGACCCCTCCATGCCCAGTGTCATTACTCGCAGATGTGGCCCCTTAAGCCTCGCCACCAAGGCCAGGCCCTGTATCATCTGACCCAGCCTACTTCTCCAGCCCACTGCTCCAGGTGGTACCCTACCTGCAGCTCCCACACCCACACCTGTGTGTCATTCCAGTTACTGTACCTGGACTGTCTAGACAGTCTACACTCCCCCACCTTCACTGCCATGCAGACAGTTTACCTCTTCCACGAAGCACTCACTGGGCTAGCTCCTCTCTGCCATAAAACTTCCTCTTCTGTACTCCACATCTTAATGTCCTAATTTTTTTTCACGTTTTTCTCCCTCTAGTAGACTATAACTTCTTTAAGGGTGAAAGTGGGTTGAATTTCTCTTTGTACCCAGCCCTGAAAAACTTCCCGACACAAGTTAAATGTTCGTTATGTGTTAATGAAAGAACAATAAAAATAAACACATGGTCTTTAATTCAATCAAAAAAATCAGTGGTTCCCTACACATTGTTCATCTGCTTAGACGCCAGCTTCATATACACCTGCTTCTGAATTAGAATTTCTCCAAATTACATTCATCTTTCTACCACTTGCTTCAGTATTCGACTTCAAAAGCTCCAGGATTTCATTCTTTCCCTTTGATCCTTCTTTTCTGCAATATTCTAGATTCCAAACTCCTTGGGAGGAGATTTAAGGCATTATCATCTTTTTCACTTCAAGCATTTACTGAGCTCCGTCTTGGTGCCAGGTGCTATAACTAGATGGGGAGTTTTTGTTTTATTATTTTTTTTAATTCACTGCTATTTAATTTTCACAACTTCATGAGGTGAATATTAATTCCCATGTTTTTTGGGGGGTGGGGGTTTGGGCCGGGAATCGAACCGCTGTTGCTCAGAGCTCACACTCTTGAGCTCTTAACCAACTGAGCCACTCGACCGGCCCATTATCCATGTTTTTATAGATGAGAAAATTAAGTAACTTGCCTGTGGTCACACAGCTAATGAGAGATGAGGCTGGCATTTGATATGCCATATTCTGAAGACATGCTCTTTTCTCCATCCCAACATGGGGGATAAGGGGCAAATATTCTAGGCTGAATACTGGTTTTATGTTCTTTCTGTAATAAATCTATTATATTTCATAGACCTGACATATTTTGAAAACCACAGAGCAGTTCCATCAAAATGGGTGAAGCTTATCTTCGATCAGAGATAAAGGCAAAGAAACTCTGGGCTTTAAATTAAAACCACATAGATGCAAAAGTAATTTTATTACCCAAGTCCATTTTCCCGTGTTTTTAAACTGTAAGACACCCAAGCACAGTGAGTGTAGAGGAAGGTAGTTGAGGGGCTGCCCCGGAGGAATTAAATCACAGACTCCTGGGCCTGATCACATCTGCCAAATTCATCTCAAAAAAATCTGTTTGGTCTTGGATTCTTTGACAAAAACAACTCTTATTTTTAAGACTAGGAAGAGGTAGGGGGTTTTTATGTCTTCTTACAAGAAATTTCCATCCACTGGCTTTAAATTTTACTTTTTATTCAAAAGCCCAACATGTTTTTATATTGAAAACTTCCCAGGAAGTTGAGAGCCATTTGCTCACACTCTGAGTCATGGTTTTACTCTGACTACAACAGCAGCATCCTCAAACTCCGACTAGTGAGAGCCACTGCAACCTCTTAGATCTAAAGGAAATGATTGGTAACACTTCTCTGATTCTGAATTCTTCTGTAGGAAATGGAAAAACAGAGAAGTTACAATCCTATATATTAGCCTCAGATTCAAATAACAACTTTGCAGATGAACAAGGATTGATCTGGAACGTGGGCTCTTTCAAGTCAGGCCCAGGTTTTGAGGGGCCTGAGGCTTAAAAAATTTTGGAGGCCCCCTGTAAGAAAACAATGCAAACTTACAAATATAAATTTAAGAATGAACACAATAACAAGAAATAAATTCACATTACAAATTTAATGAAGCTATAGGTTTTTTTTTAAAACAAACAGAATCCCCCTTCAAAATTACACAGCATTTTTATTAACCTCCTGACACACTTCAATAATGTTCATTTTCCTAGTGTTCGGCTGCATACCCTTTTT